TTCTGGGCTGTCTATTCTGTTGATCTCTGTGTCTGTTTCTGAGCAGATACCTTGGTTTTGGTTTTGGTTTTTTTTTTTTTTTTTTGATTACTGTAGTTTTGTAGTATAGTTTGAAGTCTAGAAGGGTTATACCTCCAGTCTTGTTATTCTTTTCCCAGGATTGCTTTGGCGACTCTGGGTCATTTGTGCTTCCATATAAATTTCAGAATATTTGTTCTGTGAAAAACATCATGGGTATTTTGATAGAGAGTACATTCAATCTGTAGGTTACTTTTAAGTAGTATGACCATTTTAACAATATTAATTTCTTTCTTCAGAGAGTGAAAAGGATATATGAAAGTAAAGCCACTCAGTCGTGTTCGACTCTCTGCGACCCCAGGGACTGTAGCCTACCAGGCTCCTCCATCCATTCATGGGATTTTCCAGGCAAGAGTACTGGAGTGGGTTGCTATTTCCTTCTCCAGGGGGATCTTCCTGACCCAGGGATCAAACCCAGGTCTCCTGCAGTATAGGCAGACGCTTTTATCATCTGAGCCAGCAGGGAAGTCTAGAAGGATATATATATCTATTATGTATCAAAGAAGGTAATCTGAGGGCCAGGACAATATAGTGTATAAAGAGCCAAGAGGAGAGTGAGCTAAATGACTCACATTTAAGATCCAGTTCCTGTAGTTCTGGTAAAATATTGTCATTGGTATCCCATTAGAGGGATTAAGATGTCATTGGGTGCACATTGAGGACTTTATACTCATGAAGCTATTTCTTCCACCTTTGAGATGAAGCCACTGATACTCGCAGAGTTTATTTGCCCAACATCACAGAGCTAGCAAATGGCAGGACCAGGATTTAAATTTTGACTCAGAATCTAATCATGTCTAATTTGCAGTATGCTGCCTATCATGGTCATGGCTGATGCAGCAGATACAGCCAAGACAGGAGTAGTTTGTGTTTGGTATGTGTAATGATTGAACTGCCCCCTCGTGGGGCTGGTTCTTTGCAGGTTCTCTGAACTGGCCCCCTTTTGTCATCTGGTAATTCAGACTCCCAGGGGATCAAGAGATATCTTCCCACTCTGGGTACCCTGGAGCTATTTGGTGCTAGCACATTCCAGAATTAAACTATATCTCTCCTTCTCCATCATGTCCTGTAATGCCCCTAAGTAAAAGTTCTTGGAGCACTGTGGGGAAAGGGGAGCTCAGGAAAGAGGCACCTGGTTGCTACACTACATTCCTCAGTCAATTCCCACAAAACCGGTAGCCATCCACGCACCATCCACTCATTCCTTCTTTCATCAGACATCTATTGCTTGTTTATTCCACTTTAGGCCCATTCTAAGTGCTAAGGATATCAAGATTAAAAGACAGACATCCCTAGGGAAAGGAATGGTAATCAAAGAGCAGCCAGGCCTTAGGCAGGATTTCATATTCTTTAAGAAAGGAAACATTTAAGGTGTTTGTTTGCTGAATAAGAGCAATGAAGATAAAGGACTGAAAAGAAGAGAAGGTATTGCCTAAGCACACTCAGGAAAAACAGGAAAAAGGTGTGATCTCCTGATACCCAGGAGAAAGATGGTGTCCTCCTAAGAGAGGTGGCACGCACAGGACCTTTTGTGAGTGGCTGCATTTGTCTGAGGAAGGGGGAAGGAGGCCACAGTATTTGAAGAGTCTGGGAGTGAAGTGTCGAATGCAAGGAGCACCTTCAAAGTTTGGAGCCACTCCCCAGTGGAGGAGGGGCGCAGGAAGGAGACATTTGTGCATCACGGTTTGCCTTTGATGGAAACTGTGGAATTTTATGAGACCAGTTAACACAGTTATGTGGTTTCTTATTACCATCACTTCATTGTTCGCACACCCATTAAGCCATGGGAGAAGCTGCCCTTTTAACTGATTCTCCTAGCCTTCTAGAAACTGTGTTGCTGGAGAATACTCTTGAGAACCCCTTGGAGTGCAAGGAGATCAAACCAGCCCATCCTAAAGGAAATCAGTCCTGAATATTCATTGGAAGGACTGATGCTGAAGCTCCAATACTTCAGCCACCTGATGGGAAGAGCTGACTCACTGGAAAAGACCCTGATGCTGGGAAAGATTGAGGGCAGGAGGAGAAGGGACGACAGAAGATGAGGTGGTTGGATGGCGTCATTGACTCAATGGACATGAGTTAGAGCAAACTCTGGGAGATAGTGAAGAACAGGGAATCCTGGAGTGCTGCAGTCCATGGGGTGGCAAAGAGTAAGACACGACTGAGCAACTGAACAACAACCTAGTCATCTAACTAGAAGGACATTTGTTCATAAGACCTAAAAGCCTTGAGCCTGAGCTTTCAGGTCCTAACTGAAATTATTGCTACCTGACTCCTGAAGGAGACAGAAGACAGTTGAATTCTGCTTATGACCTTCTAGTGGGACAAGCTCGGTTGCCATTTGTACAACCTCAGGTTGAGGCATCTCCCCAGAAAGAGAGGAAGTCAGAGCGTCCGGTCTGCAGAGAACACCCCTCTTTACTGCACAGTGACTTCGGTTTCAGGCAAACAGGTTTTCCCTACTTCATGGTTAGTACTCTACTAGGATTCTTGCTGGCAAGTAACAGAAATGAGCTCTAGTTTAAGCAGACGAAGAAACAAAGAGTCTGTTGGTAAAGAATATTAGGGAGTTCACAGATTCATTGGCAAACTCGGACAGACGAACCTGGGGACAGTGCAGCCAGAGGCAGCGCCCCAAATTCCATCTTACAGCTGGCCTAGGACAAAGCGCGGTTGCTCGCCAGGGTCCAGAACTGCCTCCGGTCGCTTCTGACCAGCAGCGCTCCCCGGAAGCTCCACGGAGGCCTCTGACACTGCTGTCACTGGCACCCACTCTCCTAGCCGCGCCCGAGGGGTTCTGCTTGGCCTGACTTCTTTGCACCTGCAGCTTCTGGTTAGAGTCTTAAGTGGTCTGCTTAATGCTCACTTGCCAGTAGCTGAACTCATGGGAGACAAGGAATAGGTGTGTCTGTTTTTACCTGCTGTGGGGGACGTGGGCTCCGGCGGGAGTGGAAATGCTGAGTCATAGAGAATGACGCCATAGAGAATGGCGGGTGTCCGTTACCGTGCCTTAGACCCGTGAATGAGTGTTCCAGGCCTTCTGTACTGGACAGAGTCCTGGATCCCTGGACGCTGAGTTTGTAGATCCTCTGCAGTGGACCTTTTCAAATTTCTCTTCGAATCTTCATCACTTTGAAGAATGCTCTCAGGAAATGTTTGTAGAACAAATTGATGTTTGTTGAGTATATTCTTTCAACAAACACGTATTGGGCATGTGCTCCTGCTGACTACTCTGCCAGGTGTGGCTGGAAAGATCAGAAATGCTTTTACACAATCGTAAAGAAAGACTCCATCTGGAGCAATGCTTGGGCTGCCACGCAGGAACTGAAGTATGAGGGTTCGAGTCTAAGGTGAAGAAATACTGCTTGGGTACCAAGCAGAGTGGGTCTGAACCACCTTCCCAGCTGAGGTGGGCAGATGATGAATGAGGGGAAGAGAAGACTGAAATCATAGCAAAGTGCATTGCAGAGATCGGGGGTGGAAGGCGGGCAGAGGGGGCAGCCGCCTGCTGGGAACAGTGGGGAAGCTGTATCTCCACACCCCCATCTCACCCCCTAGCTCTCATCTCGCTGGACTCTCCTAGGTAAGTTTGGCTTAATTGTTTATACCTCTTGCTGTTTTTCTCTAAGTGACTCTTTTGTGCTCAGGTTGTAACAAACATGTTATATTTGTAAAACTCTTAGAAGAGTGTCTGGCACGGTAAGTATTAATGCTATATAACTTTATTAAATATGTGAAAATTAATTTATTTAATGTGAAAATCTGTTTCTCATACTTCCACAAAATACATTAGGGATTCCGCTGGCAGTCACATTAAGTCAAATGCCAGGTGGATTTTTTCACCTTGGACCTTTTTACGTGCAGCATCCACTTTACGTTTATTAGGTGCTTTGTGTGTTCTAGGCGCTGTGTGTGGCGCAGCAGCCGAGCTCCCTCTCTGCCCGTCCACAGTGGGCAAAGCATGACCCGGGCTCCGTGGGCACCGTGGCCTGACTGCCCAACCCACTAGATACAGAACATTGACTCAGTAATTCCTCTCTATCCTGTTAACTGCTGAAGTGAAAAACTGATTTTGGTGCAGCATTTTTAGTTGTCTTCAGTGGGAGAATTGGTCTAATTCACCGCCTGTGATTACTCAAGATGGAAATTCTAATTATATTTTATGTGGTTTCTTTTTTGTGTGTGGTTTTGTTCTTGTTTTTTCAGAAATATATTCTTCCTTTACTTCCTCTGTGTTTAACATCTTAGTTGAGATATTTTTCACCATGTGGTTCATATAAATGGCTCTGTAACATGGTCAGATATAGTATCAGTTAATTCATTTTGTAGATTTAGGTGTTTGTTTTATAGCTTCACTAACATTTCAGTCTTACAAAGAGAAAAATTTCTTACATTTTACCAAAATTGTGTGTTGTTTTATTTAAATGGGTCAGGGCATGCAAAGATGAAATATATACATCCAAAACCAAACTATTTGAATATCTGATGTAGAAACAAAGTTTTAATAATCTAGAATGTCAGATCTGGACTGTAACTCTGGTATATTCCATGGGTGAATGGGACTCCAAAAACTCCACTTGTGTACACAATCTCTCATAAGCCAACAAAAGTCTTTGGAGTTGTGCCAAAGCTGAAGACTTTTATGTACCTCAAGTGGCCAGAAACCTACAGGACAACTCAGGGTCCTTCAGAGTCCTAAGAGAATCCAGTTATTCTTCACAGCATTGCCTCTGAGGAGTCTAAACCCACATGTTACCAACAGACAGAGCACCTTCGTTACTTCTGTGCTGTTTTGAGAAAGTGTGTCTCTTCATTCAGTTCAAATTGGTTTGATTTTTTTTTTAATAAAAAAACACACAGCTCTTTTTTTTTCCCCCTTGGTAAAACTGAAGGCCTAACACATTTCCAATTTCTTTTGGCAGAGAAAAAGACAAGCATATGAATCTAACCTCATCTGTGATGGTCTGCAACTAGAAGCAACTAGATCCGTAAGTGTCAGACCCTTCCCAGTTGTCAGATGACTGTTGCTCCTGGGAACTAGAGTGTCACTGGGAGTGCTGGAAAGGCATTTGAAACATGTAACCCCAGCCACGCCTTAACTGCAGGCTGTGATGGGAGTCAGTCAAAATCTGCATTATAGAATATATGTTTGTTGCTGATAAAAACCATGGATCCTTTTTAATATCCAAAGAATGTAGTAATAAATCTATGTATGAATGTATTTATTCAAGAACCTTTTTAAAGTTTTTTATATAATACAAATGATAGTTTACCCCCCCAAAATTAGAAAATGTAAGAATAGTGGAATTGAAAATCATCTGTACTTTATCCATAAATAATCTTGTCCTTCTCAATATTTTCTTTTGCTCAAATATATACATTTTTCCCTTCCAAAAAAGAAATTATCATTTCACAGTTTTAAAGTTTGCTTTTCTCTCTTTATCATATAATAAATGCATTTCTATGTTAATAAATATAGTTCTTTTAAATCCTTTTTAATGATCACATAATGACGTTGAACAGATATATAATAAATTAAACAGCCTTCTTCTCGGTTTAAGAAATTTTAAAACTTGTCGTTACAATAACACTACAATATAGTGTTTTTATGTTTAGTTACTAATTTGGACTAATAATTAATACATTTGCTTTTCTTCATCTAAAGTATTGGTGATTTTATGAAAGGACTATGCGACATAAGAATAATCTGTCTTAAATTTGTGAAAGTATCAATAGTTGATTTGGTTTCCCGGTTTGTATGCTCATTCTTTCAATATAGCTTGTGGATGACAAGCTCGTATTTGTAAAAGTACATGCCCCATGGGAGGTGCTGTGTACCTATGCAGAGATAATGCACATCAAACTGCCTCTGAAACCCAACGATCTGAAAACCCGGTCCTCAGCCTTTGATAATTTCAACTGGTTTACCAAACTCCTCCAAGTGGATGAAAGTATCATCAAGCCAGAGCAAGAGTTTTTCACTGCCCCCTTTGAGAAGAACCGCATGAATGACTTTTACATTCAAGATAGAGACACATTCTTCAATCCAGCCACCAGAAGCCGCATTGTAAGTCTAAACCCAATTTAGCTGCTGTCTTGGGGTGATTTAGAACCTACTGTTGAATAATTAGTGGCTTAATTTGGTTGGTTTGGTTTGGGTTTTAAAGCTGCCAAAAAAAAGAAAGAAAGAAAAGTAATACACTTACAGATTCCTGTTAGGATAGTAAGCAATGATTGGCTAGTTACACTGGATAAACTACACACTCTGTTTTGGAATCTTTTTTAGGTTTACTTCATTCTTTCTCGGATAATGTACCAAGTAAGGGACAATGTTAAAAAGTTTGGGATTAACAAACTCGTAAGCTCTGGAATCTACAAGGCAGCTTTCCCTCTCCATGATGTAAGTCAAATGGCAAAAATGAAATAAAATATCTAAAATGTGTCTAGTGTTAGGGAAAGGCTAATCTTCTTGACTTTGTTTCTTCCTTGGTAAAATGAAGAGGACATATTGCAAAATTGTAAGCTCATTTAGGACAGGAATCATGTTGTATTGTTTACTGCTGAATCCCAGGCACCAGGGAACACCACTTAATTAAGTGAACGAATGAATAGACCGCATTTCCCAGAGTTAATGTGTGGACCTATTAAGAGCATAGACTCAGACTCAAACACCTTTCTAGCTGAAGTATCTTGTGAAAGTCGCTTAACCTCTCCATCAATTTTCTTGTCAGTAAAATGGGGATTATAGCAGTACCTATCTCAGTAGAGTTGTTATGAGAATCAGTTCATCCACGTGGATGTTAGAACAGTTCTTGGCATATAATAAGTACTATATATCTGTCAGCTGTTTTCATAATTACTGACAGATATTATTGTCAACCAGAAAAGTATTAGTTCTTTGTAAGAAAAATATACGTTAGACCATTTCATTTATCATTTTCTGTAATACAGGTAGGCATTTTCTCCTCTGAAATAACCATTTTCAAACTGTGTCCTGGAATATCACAGGGCTTCTAAAACGGCATCTGTCAGGGTTCTTTTCAGGATGGCAATACAGCAGAGGGTTGATATTTTTTAAGGACTTCGTACTGAGATGACAGCAACTCCTCAAATTCAAGAGCACTTCTCTAGCTGATAAGATCACTTATGAAATGAAAATTTTAAAATGTGACTGCTGTAGAACCTTAATGATTCTGTAAATGCAAGGATATTTTACCTAAGCTCCTTAAATAAATTCTGTTATTAAAATAAATAAAATCCTGTTTTATATTGCTCTGTTCCTTTGTTATATTCACTATCAGTTTATGTGGCTCTCTAAGGCCAAAGAGTACATCATGAGTAATGCTGGACTGGATGAAGCACAAGCTGGAATCAAGATTGCCGTGAGAAATATCAATAACCTCAGATATGCAGATGACACCACCCTTATGGCAGAAAGTGAAGAGGAACTAAAGAGCCTCTTGATGAAAGTGAAAGAGCAAAGTGAAAAAGTTGGCTTAAAATAAAGCTCAGCATTCAGAAAACTAAGATATGGCATCTGGTCCCATCACTTCATAGCAAATAGATGGGAAAACAGTGGAAACAGTGGCAGACTTTATTTTGGGGGGCTCCAAAATCACTGCAGATGGTGACTGCAGCCATGAAATTAAAAGACGCTTGCTCCTTAGAAGAAAAGCTATGACCAACCTAGATAACATATTAAAAAGCAGAGACATTACTTTGCCGACAAAGGTCCATCTAGTCAGAGCTATGGTTTTTCCAGTAGTCATGTATGGATGTGAGAGTTGAACTATAAAGAAAGCTGAGAGCTAAAGAATTGATGCTTTTGAATTGTGGTGTTGGAGAAAACTCTTGAGGGTCCCTTGGACAGCAAGGAGATCCAGCCGGTCCATCCCAAAGGAAATCAGTCCTGAATATTCATTGGAAGGACTGATGCTGAAGCTGAAACTCCAATATTTTGTCCATCTGATGCGAAGAACTGACTCATTTGTAAAGACTCTGATGCTGGGAAAGATTGAAGGCGGGAGGAGAACGGGACGATAGAAGTTGAGATGGTTGGATGGCATCGCCGACTCAATGGACATGAGTTTGAGTAAACTCTGGGAGTTGGTGATGGACAGGGAGGCTTGGCGTGCTGCAGTCCATGGGGTCACAGAGAGTCGGACATGACTGAGCGACTGAACTGAAAGGCCAAAGAAAGCAAAGACTGATTGTTATTTGCTACTATAAAGTACATGTATTTGTGGATGAAGGCAATATTGAAATGTACTGTGTAAGTTAATAAAACTAGGACAGTATGCATGCTCCTTGATACACATGCACAGAGAACCGGGAGCTGGATGGGGAACAGATACTGAGTTTCCTGGCTCAAAGACCCAACAGAGCAGTCCAACCTGACAGTCCATGTGTTTTATATTTGTGCACCAACAAGATTAGCAGTGAGCATGACATGAACTTGGGTACACTTGCAAATAGCTGTCATGATTATTAGTATGGGATGTCAAAATTCTGCAGTATTCAGTGGACATCGGCCCATGCCCAGTTCTTTTCCACTAAAGCTTCCTGTAATTGCACTGGTCCCACGTCCAGGCTAAGGGATGATCTCATGAGGTACTTGGAAGGCAGGCAAGTAGAGGTCAGGACTCATGTCAAAGCTTTAATATTAATAATTTTCTGGTTGATAATAACATCTGTCAGTAGTTATTATATGCCAGGGACTTTGCACATTGCTGTGGATGAATTGATTATCTTAACAACTCTTTGAGGTGGGTAGTATTACTATCCCCATTTTATTGATGAGGAAATTGATGAATGGAGAGGCTAACTGACTTTCACAAGGTCATCCAGCTAGCAAGTGGTGGAGCAGGTGATTCTGGCTCTAGTATGAGGGAAGGAAAGTGAGTCAGGTGGGAAGAAGAGGCATTGCATTTAAGCAGAGGCAGGAAGTTTGGTTTCTTGAATAAGCTAAATGTGTAACATCACATCAGGCTTTTTTGTTGTTTATATTCTGTATTTTCACAGAATAACTGCTGAATTGAGGGACAAGAAAGCATGGGTTTTAGAACTGACTCAGTCACTAACCAGCTGGTTGTTCTGGGTGTCTAAGGAGGGGGCTGGGCTGCCAGATAGTCCTCTGCCAGGAGAGTTTGGGCCCTTGAGCCGCCAGGTTTTCATTATTTAGAGCTGGTCCACTTATAGTACATTAAGTATCCTCGGAGTTCTCACCAGGTATCTGCGGTGGTCCCTGGGATTGTAACCTCAGAGCCTTTCTTTCCACGCACATTCACAAATGGCCCTCCAGGCATTGGTATTGAGTATTGGTATTGGTTGAGAATTACTAAGAACTACATGGTATTTCCACCCCTTTCAGCAAATGAGACCCCTTATTTACAAATGACTGTGAAGTGTTAGGGCCACATTTAGCCAACAGGACACGCAAACGACATACCGATTATGATGCTCGTTTCTTTGCTGCTTCTTCCCAGTGCAACTTCAGCAGCCCATCGGAGGACCTCAGCTGCCCCAATGAGCGGTACCTTCTGTACAGGGAATGGGCTCATCCTCGAAGCATATACAAAAAGCAGCCCTTGGATCTTATCAGGTGAGTTGTTGTAGTGAGCAGTCCAGTGGGAAGGACTCAGGGTTGCCCTTGTGGTTTCTAAGCATGACAGTCCTCTAAGAGTATTACCAACCAGGGAAGCTCACTGCAGCTATGAGTTTTGTTGCCCACAATTTTTATTGGGGCCTCATTACTAGGCTGGAGAAGGCAATGGCACCCCACTCCAGTACTCTTGCATGGAGAATCCCATGGATGGAAGAGCCTGGTAGGCTGCAGTCTATGGGGTCGCTAAGAGTCGGACACGACTGAGCAAATTCACTTTCACTTTTCACTTGCATGCATTGGAGAAGGAAATGGCAGCCCACTCCTGTGTTCTTGCCTTGAGAATCCCAGGGACGGGGGAGCCTGGTGGGCTGCCATCCATGGGGTCGCACAGAGTCAGACACGACTGAAGCGACTTAGCAGCATTACTAGGCATGATTGATTGAGTCACTGCCCACATGGTTCTGTCTCCAAACCCTTCTTCTCCCAGTGGGTCCTACAGCATCACATGGTTCCAATCATGTGATTGGTCTTTCTGGCCTGGCCAGTCCACATCCTGAATCATCTCATTAACACAAACTATTTAAGGTCTACCGTGAATAACGAAGTCAATCATATCTTGGGAAATTCCAAGGCATATGAGGTTACCTCCCAGGAACTGGGACCAAAGACCCACCAAATTCTTCATTAAACAGGAGTAAATGTTAGATTTAGCTTAAATTGTATGATGGTGGTTTAGTTGCTAAATTGTATCTGACTTGTGACCCCATGGACTGTAGGCTGCCAGGCTCCTCTGTCCATGGGATTTCCCAGGCAAGAATTCTGGAGTGGATAGCCATTTCCTTCTCAAGGGGATCTTCCTGATCCAGAGATCGAACCTGGGTCTCCTGCATTGCAGATGGATTCTTTACGAGTTGAGCCATGATAAGAGATGCCAGTTTTCACTGCTTTCCTGTATCTTCTATTGGGTACCATTTCCAACAACATGTGAACATAATGTCCAGCATGCATCTTCTCAAAGCACCAGTGTCGGCTGCTCTCCAGAAACTTACGTTGTTTGGGCAAGGCTATTGGAGAAAAATAGATCAAGAGCAACTAAGCACATAAATAAGTAAAATTTCTGAGTGAAATGAAGAAAATGACACAGTGATGAGATGGAGAGGAATTGGGAAGTGGGAAGGAAAGTGAGTCAAGAAAGTTATCTTTGAGTAAGTGGCATGTAAGCTGAGATTTGTCTAGTGGAAAAAAGAAAAGCCCAGTACTTTAAGGATCTGGGAAAAAGTCATATCAGGAAGAGAGGCCACCGGTATAGTGGCCTCAAGGCACAAAACCACTTGTTAAGCTTGAGGAGATAGTGAAAACCAGTGCGAAGAGGAAAGAGGAAGATGAGACACAAGGTTAAGAAGGCATCAGGAACATGGAAAGGCGTGTGTAGACAAGTGCAGTGAAAAGCTGCTGTAACATTTTAACCATTGGAGTAATTTTATCTCACTCACATTTTGCAAAGATGACAGTGGAAACTAAGTGATGGGGGAGGCAGGAAACAGGGAAAGCCGGTAAGAGGCTCTTAGCACAAACCAGATGAGAGACCCTGGGGGCAAACATGGAATGTGTTTGGGGAGTCAGGTTGACAAGACATGGTTATGGATTGGCTATGTGGGATGAGGAGGAGAGGAGGAGGGTCAAGGCAGCCCCTTGTGGGCCCAGAACCATGTGCCTGTTCTTCCTATGATGTCTCATGGCCTGTCCACCTGAACTTGGGGAAAACCTCTTAACCTTAAAAGTGAGAATTTTGAAACACTGAAGAATTTTCATTTTGTTTTACATTTTATTAAGGGAAATTTTGGGCCCCCCCAGGTGGTGCTAGTGGTAAAGATTACGTCTACCACTGCAGGAGACGAAAGAGAGATGGGTTTGAACCCTGGGTCAGGAAGATCCCCGGGAGTAGGAAGTGGCAACCCGCTCCAATATTCTTGCCTGGAAATTTTCATAGACAGAGGAGCCTGGCAAACTGCAGGCCCTGGGGCCACAAAGAGTCGGACATCACTGAGCACAAGGGAAATCTTAAACATATACAATAGTAGAATAAATAGTACGGCAAGTTTGCCTATGTCTGTCACCCATCTCCAGACATTATAAATTCATAGTCACCGTTGTTTCATCTTTTTGTCTAACTCCTACTGGGTCATTTTGAAGAAAACTCCAAATAGCATAACATTTCATTAATAGAATGACAAGACCTCTTTTAAATACAACCAGAATACTCCTTTTGTTTAAAGTCGTAAAATAATCAGTATTCATGTTTTCCTGACTGTCATAAAAATACAGTTTTTAACAGTTTTTTGTTTGTAATCAGTATCCAAACAAGGTCCAGATGTTGCAAGTAACATCTCTCAAATAGCTTCTAATCTATAATTTTCCATTTTCTTTCTTGTTTTCCTTGTAATTGTTTCTCTGTTTTCTATCTGGCTGATTTCATTTTCCCCTGTGGTGTTACTTGTTTCTCTGTCCTGTGTATTTGCTTTAGCAAAGTCATTTGATCCTCATCTAAAAGCTTGATCTGATTGAGATTGAACTTTGCACAGAACACTTGTGTGAGTTTCATATAGTATAAGGTATATAGTGTCCAGTTGTCTATCTTTTCTGTAATGATAGCAGCCATTAATGAATGTTATCTAGATTCATCATTTCCTAAGGGATTTTATTTTATTTGGTCATTTGTTCTTCAGTCATTAAGTTGTGTCCTACTCTTTCCAACCCCATGGACCTCAGCACGCCAGGCTACCCTATGCACTATCTCCCAGAATTTGCTCAGATTCATGTCCTCCAAGTCGGTGATTCCAACCACCTCATCCTGTCGCCCCCTTCTCCTCCTGCCCTCAATCTTTCCCTGCATCAGGGTCTTTTCCAGTGAGTCGGCTCTTCACATCAGGTAGCCAAAGTACTAGAGTATGATTTCTTCCTTTATTTACTAGTTGGATTTGAATCATAAAGAGGCAGTTTCTCTCATTAACTCAGCTACCCTGTAGAATAAAATTTTGAAAAAGGATGTTTGTATACATGTCAGTATTTGAAGCTGATATTTACATGGGGGTTCTCTTCCATTATTTTCATTTTGTATTAAACCTATAGCATCTGTTGGCAGAGTGGTTTGTTTGATGGCTTTTTAATCATTCTTTATGGGTTTTTGTTTGGGGGCAGGGGTTCTATGAAGGAAACAATTTCCCCAAGATTTTAAGTATCTTTTGCTAAGAAAATGCATTTAACTATTCCCTGCCCCTGGTCCACCTGTCCCCTTTGTGCTTCTGTAAACTTAAAAAAGAAATGTACATGAGCGTTGTGAATTAAGTTTTATTTGGGGCAAAATGAGCCCAGAGATAGCATCTCAGCTCTGAGAAACGGCTCCAGAAAGGCCGGGGGAGAGGTCAGTATATATGTGATTTTGATGTAGGGGGAATACATGCAGTCAAGCACATATTTTTTTTTGCAGAAGGTTTCTGCTAGTCATGAGGAACTGTCTTCACCATGAAGACTTTTAGTGCTTTTCTAGATATGAGGAGATGCAAGAATTGAGCTCATAAAATCAGCTTCTGAAAAGATTTAACTATCTGAAGACCTGTTCTGCCAGTTTTTCTCAGAGCACAGAGTGCCTCATTTCTGCTGCCTACCCTGAGCACCGTTCAGGAGCTGTTGAACATCGGCAGCTGCATGATTTAATCCTTGTAGAGGTGGATGGCAAGTGCCAATGGCAAGTGTCAGTTTGTAGTTGACACTTGCCGTTAGTAACGCCTTGAGCACTCAGGATGTTACACCTTCCTCTCTGGTTCCCAGGGATTAGCAGAGGGAAAATGAACTCTTTCCCAAAAAGCAAGTCAAGCAAACTGGAAAGAACACCTAGAGGAAACAGACCTTGCACAGAAAAAAAGAAAAAAAAAAAAACAAGTTTCCTATAACACTCGCTCAGAGTTAGCAGAGAATCCATGATATCCACAATACAAAAACAGGGTTCTAATTTAAAGAAAAGTAAAGAAAGGATCATTCTGAGAGTAACATGTAGCTCTTAGGAATAAAAAATGAACAGAATAGGGGAAAAAACCCAACAGTAGTATTAAAAAATGATGTTGAAGAAATTGTACCAAACATGGAGTCAAAATATAAAGACACAGGGAAAAAGATAAAAATTTAAAAATCAGTCCAGGATGTGCAATGAACAAATAATAGGATTGCTCAAAATAAGGCCTGAGAAAATGTAAGGAGGAAATGAGAGAAATATTTCAAGACAGGTATCTGAACTGTTGAAGAACTGAGCACCCCGAGTCTCTGTGTGGACAGAGCATGCAGAGCACCCAGCTTGGAGAATGGACAGGGAGCCATCAAGTCACTGAAATGTGACCTCTCAAACACTGGAGCACACAGAAGGTCCTGCAAGCTTCCAGAAATCAGGAAATCAGGCTTCATACGAAGGAGCAAGACTCAGAATAGCTTTGCATTTCTGAACATCAACACTTCAAGGTACAAGAAAAGAAAGCAACAATTTCATATTGCCAAGGAAGGTGATTTTTTTTTTTTAAACTCACTGTCCCATATATGGCCAAATTCTTCATTCGGTGTGAGGAAATTTTCATTATTTAAATGTGCAAAGTAATGGAGGAAGTACAGAGGTACTCCACCCAGAAAGAGAAATACATGGGTTCAATAAATGGGGGTTCCCAATCTAAAAGAGGGGCATGGAGAGCCCAGGTAACAGCTCCGTGGCAGGACTACTAGCAAGTCATTCATCCAGGTGGTAGGAGACTGAAGAGTTTCATTCAAGGAGAGAAAATTGATAGACCGACTCAAGTGTTGGAAAGCAGTGAGAAAGTTACACCTGAAAGGAAAGTCTGGGGGTTGAATTGTTGCTAAGTACACAGAAAACTAAACAGTGAACCACCAAGACAATTAGTAACTCCAGAGAAAACAAAATATTGCGCAGAAAAGAAAAAGTAAGCATCGCAGACAACTTGATGCAGCTGTGAACAGTCTTTATGGCATCTTAATAATGCAAAGCAAGGCTATTACTCTAACCAAAATTATATTGTAACTATGTTGAGAGGATGCAGGAAAGGAGGTATGGGTGTGTAGATGAGCCGGGGGTTGAAAGAGAACTTAATTCTCATCTTCCAGAGTAAAGCATCAGGAGGTGATGTGTAAAACTGAGAAGTCAATGAACTACACTACAGGTATATTATTTACAGAAGTGGAAGTACATATTCCAAGACTCAGCTATAAGAAGTGAAAGTGGTTACTTCTCGCCAGGAAATGGGAGCGGTTTTTGAGGGTTGCTTCTTTTCATACCTAGTGTTCTAGAACTGACTCTTTATTGACTGTATAGTTATAGCTTTGATTTTTGTTTTAAATCAAAGCTGAATTTTTAAAAATTGGTGTTAAGAATTGGGATGTTTGGGGCAGAGAAAGATAATGATCAGAGGATATTACATTTGCAGGGATCCGCATTTTCCCCAGCCTTTCAACAAGAACCCAGGAGACAGGCTTTCTGTTTAGGATTCAAAAATTCTTTCTCAGCTTCTTGTCTAAGCAGTGTAACAAGGGTGGCTTGGGAAGTACTGAAGGCCGTGTCACTATAAATATCCAAGTAGAGTGACCAGCCCTCTTGCAGGGTGTTTTTACTATTGGGCAGTTGGAGTGGGCAACTTCTAGCATTCTTTCCAGTTTTAACTGTGGCATTTCCAAGGCAGATGTTTGATAGGAATGTATTACAAAAAGCCTAACAGCCAAGAGTCCAAAATGTATCAAACCCACTGCCAGGATTTTCTCTCCCAGACACCATCTCCTGAGCTGTCATTTGCCTGCCACCCATGAGCCAGACCACAAAGCCCCGGTCACATCGGAATGGACGCACTGCGTTCCTCCCAGCTCGTGATTCTATCTCGGTCTCAGCCCTTCCTTTTCCCCATGGATGTGGCCCACGCCCAGGCCTCTGACCAGGGAGCTGGTCTCAGAACTACCCTGTGAGTGCTGGTCCCACTCAGGGATGTTCCTCTGTGAAGTCTTCCAGACTCCAGGCTGTTCTGAGAGCTCAGTCCCCACTGGGCTAAGCCCATCGAGCTCAGCTCAACGTCACACTGAGCCAGCAGTCTCCTAGAGGCCTCAGAGCCAAGTCAGTCTACAGGTTGTACCAGTCTACAGGTTGTACGGAACCAGGTTGTTCTGGCTCTGTACCGCTGAGCCAGAAGTGAAAAGTGAGTCAAGGAAAGGTATATGCCAGAGTTGCAAACAGCCTTCTTACTGCCTTGTCCTCACCCCTAAACCCTTTCTCTGTATTTGTCCCCTTCAGGAACAGTCTGGCCCTGTTTCATGCCCTGCCTCTTTTTTTATTTTGACTACCTGTTCTCTTCCATTTACTCCAGATTAATTTAAAAACATTGAAGAGTTTTTAAAACTTAGGAAAAATAGAAATGCTACATGCAAAGAATACGGGACAGTAGATTACTTAATCATATCCATCCTACCCTTTCCCATTCTCGAAAGGAGTTTTATAAATGGTTTGGTCAGAGAGATATTCCACTCATAGTTATTATTATTATTGGCATTTTCTTATTAGTTGTGATTTTACATTGCATTTGCTCCAAGAAAGTTCTCAAAATAAAGCAAAAACAGGTAATTGAACAAATGGTTCATTTGTTTCATAAATGTCAAGAATAATCTTTGGGGAAACTTAGCTTATCTTTATGAAGAGTGATGATAATATCCTCTATCTGCTCCATATTTAGCAATTTCCCCTCTTTGTGTTATTCTAGTTTACTTTGCTGCAGCAGCTTGACCAGTGGTCAGTACTTCTGTAATATGTAAACTACGTCTTATTTCACAGTAGAACTGGGGGCCTGCTATGAGAATGGATATGTTTTTAAATGTGCATTGAGTCAGAGGTTTAAGTTTAAACCCCCTTTATTTAGAATCAGAAATTAATAATGAGGATAAAGCTGCAGACTGATCATATGTCTTCTCTGAAAATAACTTCTGTCTTCCTTCAGGAAATATTATGGAGAGAAGATCGGGATCTATTTTGCCTGGCTGGGCTATTACACTCAGATGCTTCTCCTGGCAGCCATCGTGGGAGTGGCTTGCTTTCTCTATGGATATTTTACTCAGGATAACTGTACATGGAGGTAACCTCTCTCTCTTCCTTGTTACCGTGCTGAAAATCTACTTAGACATCAAATTATTTCCCGGGTCTTAGACTGTTTTAGTAAAAGAAGACTCATTATAGAACACTTACTGCTTTGGATGATACATCTCTTTTGTCATGAGCATAATAACTAAGTGAAATGGAAAAAAAAGTTTTCTTAGATAATGCAGCCCAGCCTCTGACAAGACTGTTACCCTTAGGAAATACTCCAGTATTTTAAGGCAATACTTTGAAAAAGAAAGGAGGTTTGAAGAGAGGAATATCTTTGAACTTTTGGCCCCCTGAGGAATGCTTCATTCAGCCCTACAGATGTGAGCCTAGAGCAGCTCTGATTGCATCAGGGTTTCAATGGCAAAACTGGTAAAACCAATGTTTTTATGTTTTTTAGAAATTACTTCTTTTTTCTTATAAATTGATTTAATTTACTGATTTTGGGCTGTACTGGGTCTTTGTTGCTGCATGTGGGCTTTCTCTAATTGTAGCAAGTGGAGGCTATTCTCTAGTTGCAGTGTGCAGGCTTCTCTTGTTATGGAACACGGACTCTAGGGTGTGGAGGCTTCATTAGTTGTGGTACGGGCTTTGTTGCCCCTTGGCATGTGGAATCTCCCCTGACCAGGGTTGCAACCCATGTCCCTTGCATTGACGGGCAGATTCTTAACCACTGGACCACCAGGGAAGTCTACGACTTTGTAATATATATTGAGTATATATTATAAAACTCAAGTAAATGATACTTTTTGTTTGTTTTATTTAAAAAAAACACAGTGTTAGAGGGGTAAAAAAGTAATAAAGAATGAGTTTGTGCTTGATGTTGAAATTAAAATACCAGCTACACTGTGTTTGGGAAATACATGGGTGCCAAAACACTGAATTTCACCATCTCTGATCTGAAATGTGTTACTAGTCCTTTGCTTTTGGTGATCTCAACCTCCAGAAGGGGTGCAACACTGAACCAGGCCTTTTCTCTTCTTCATCTGGCCTCTGTCCAGGTGTGACAGCCAGATCAGAATTTCTGGGTAACAATGACAAGCTGATGACCAAATTTTTCTAGCCTGCAGCATATGAGCATGACGCCAAAGGCAGGAAGTGTACATGGCAGCTCTGATGTATAGGCGTAATTATCCATTCTATTTAACAAAGGATTCTGAGTGTTTGTGCCATTATGGCTATTAGCTTGAAAGCTGCAGATGGTCCTAATGTACTTGCCTCTCTTTACTGAAAAAGAGTTTAGGGCTAAAGGCTGAATGTTGATATTTTTTCCCTAATTTTGTCTTTGGCTTCTCCATTGTTTTGTATATTGTTCCAACCAAAAAAAGGTACCTCAAAAATATGCTTTCAGAGTGAAAAAGTAGCATTTTTATATGGTTCTTGCATAGTGGTGGTTCTCATTATAATTTATTTTATAAAGTCAACATACAGTCATCCCACATACTTCCTATATGTGTTTACAGTTAATTTTATTACAAATTGAGTAGATTCACAAGAATAGAACATAGATTTAAGATGTAAGGAAAAATGATCCATTACCCAGTTTAAGAAGAAAACATAACTGTTACCCAGGAAGTTCTTTGCTCAGTTGCATCCCCTTACTTTCCACTTTGGAAATAATGACTATACTAAATTTTTATTTTTATCATACACTGTATATTCTTTTTCATATGTACTTATACCCCTATAAAATATAATTTTGTGTGCTTTTGAAAATATCTGTGCATAAGTGGAAGATACTGTAGGTATTTCCTCTCCCATAAAAGGTCTATTTAAAGCTTATACACACTTGAAAATAACAACTTTATTGAGATATAATGCATATACCATAAAATACAGGCTTTGAAAGTGTACAGTTTGTGGTTTGAAGTACTTCCACAAAGTTGTGTAACCCTCACCACTATCTTAATTTTAGAACATTTTCATCACCCCATAAGGAACCAGTATCCTTTAGAAGTCACTCCCTACCGTCTGTTTCCCTTGGCCACTGGCAATTACTAATCTACTTTCTGTCTCTACGTATTTGCCTATCCCGGACATTCCATTATAAGTGAACCTTACCGTGTGTGCAGTATGTGGTGCCGTCTTTGTCATCTTTTACTTAGTATGTTTTCAAGGGGGCTTCCCAGGTGGTGCTAGTGGTAAGGAACCCGCCTGCCAGTGCTGGAGATGTAAGAGATGTGAGTTCCATCCCTGGGTCAGGAAGATCCTAGGAAGGAGGGCATGGCAACTCTCTCCAGTATTCTTGCCTGGAGCATCTCATGAACAGAGGAGCCTGCCTGGCTACAGTTCATAGTGTCGCAAAGAATTGGACACTACTGAAGCAGCTTAGCATGCATGAACACAATGTTCTCAAGATTCGTTCATGGTATAGCATGGATCAGTACTCTATTCCTTTGTGTGGTCAAATAATATGCCATTATGGAAAAGGAAATGGCAACCCACTCCAGTATTCTTGCCTGGAAAACCCCATGGACAGAGGAGCCCGGCAGGCTGTAGTCCGTGGGGTCTCTAAGAGTCGGACACGACTGAGCAACTTCACTTTACTTTACTTTACTTTACTTCACTTCACTTTAATATGCCATTGTATGGATACACCACTTTGTCTAGCCATCCATCAGTTAATGTTTGCGTTGTTTCCATTCCTTAGCTATGATGAATAGCTATGAACAAATGTGTACAAGTTTTGTGTGAATATATTTTTGTCAATTCTCTTGAGAATATATAAAAAAATGGAATTGCTGGGATATATGATAACTCTAGATTTAACATTTTGAGGACCTGCCAAAAGCATTTTTTTTTAAGTGACTGCACCATTTTACATTGCCAGTAGCTATGAATGAGTATTCCAATTTTTCCACATCTTCATCAACGCTTGTTATTGCTGAATTTTGAATAAATAAGCAAACAAGTAAATGTTTGTGTGTGTGTCATTCTAATGGGTATGAAGTGGTATGTCATTGTTGGCTTAAACTTGTATTTCCCTAATTCCCCGTGATGTTGAGCATCTTTTCATGTGCTTATTTTGCCACTTGTATCTCTTACAAGTGTTCAGTACAGCTGTTGAGTTTTAAGTGTTCTTTATATATTTTGTGATAAAAAAGTGAAAGTGAAAGTCACGTCTGACTCTTTGTGACCCCATGGACTATACAGTCCATGGGATTCTCCAGGCCAGAATACTGGAGTGGTTAGCCTTTCCCTTCTCCAGGGGATCTTCCCAACCCAGGGATCAAACCCAGATCTCCTGCATTGCCGGTGGGTTCTTTACCAGCTGAGCCACAAGGGAAGCCCAAGAATACTGGAGTGGGTAGCTTATTCCCTTCTCCAGGGGATCTCCTCCACCCAGGAATTGAACCAGGTCTCCTACATTGCAGGCGGATTCTTTACCAACTGAACTACTGTGATAAAATCCCCTTATCAAATGTTTTCTTGCATTCCGTGGACTCTTTTTCACTTTCTTGATGTTGTCCTTTGAAACACAAAAGCTTTTAACTTCAATGAAGTCCAGTTTACCTGAGATTTTTCTTCTATTGTTTGTACTTTTACCGTCATATCTTAAAAAGCATTGGTGAGCCAAAGTCATGAAGATTTTCTCAGTGTTTATCTTCTAAAAGTTGTTTCTTTCTTTCTTTCTTTTTTTCAGTTTTAGGTCTATGATTTCATTTTTGTAAACAGTATAAAATAAAGATTCACCTTCCTTTCTTGCCAGGTGTATATTCAAGTGTTCCAGCACCATTTTTGTGAACATTATCTTTCCCCATTAGCACCCTTGTCAAAAATTGTTACTGTCATTCAGACACTAAGTCATGTCTGACTCTTTGCAACTCCATGGACTGCAGCACACCAGGCTTCCAAACTCATGTCCATTGAATCAGTGATGTTGTCTGTCTATCTCATCCTCTGCTTCCCTCTTCTCCTTTTGCCTTCAGTCTTTCCCAGCATCAGTCTTTTCTAATCAGTTAGCTATTCACATCAGGTGGCCAAAGTATTAATTACTAATTACTAGTACAAAGTATTAATAAAGTGCAAAAATTTAATTGGCCATAGACTTAAGAGTTTATTAGGGACTGTTAGTTCTTTTCTATCAATACATATGTCTGTCCTTCATGCAAGTCCCACACTATACTGATTATTATAGCTTTTAGTAAGTTCAAGATTGCTTTGATTTTTCTGGGTACCTTGCATTTCTATAATTTTAGAATCAGCTTTCTCATTTCTGCAAAAAAGCCAGAATTGCATTGAATCTGTAGGTCACTTTGAGAGATATTACCATCTTAACAATATTAAGTCTTCTAATTCATAAACACAATAGCTTTCCATTTATTTAGGTCATCTTTAATTTCTATCAATATTTTGTATTTTTCAGTATATATATTTCACACTTCTTTTCTCTAATTTAATCTTAAGTATTTTATTATTTTTGATGCTACTGTAAATGAAATTATTTCCTTCATTTTATTTTTAGATTATTCATTATTGTATAGAAATATGATTACTTTTAATATATTGACTTGTCTTATAACCTCAATGAACTGGCTTATTAATTCTAGCAGATTTTTGGTAAATTTCTTTGGGTTTTAATGTACAATATCATGTCATCTGGGATAGAAGTGGTTTTCCTTATTTCTTTCTAATCTGGAGATTTTTAATTTATTTTCCTTATCTGGTTGCCCTGACTAGAACCTCTAGTACAATGTTGAACTTGGGAGGAATCTGTTCAGAGTTTCACCATTAAGTATAATCTTTGCTATGTGTGTTTTTTCCCCATAGGTGTTCTTTATCAAGCTGAGGACATTCTCTTCTGTTCCTAGTTTTTAATCCATTATTCTATCAGTATGGTGTATATAAATTAGTTTTGTTCATTGAACAATCCTTGCATTCCTGGATACATCCCACTTGATTTGATTTACTGGATTTGATTTGCTAATATTGTGTTGAAGATTTTTGCATTTTTATTCATAAGAAATAATAGTCTGCAATTTTTTGTGATGC